CTCTGCCAGAGAAATTTAGCTGGGAAAATCAGTGCAGATGACAGTTGGGAAGAGGAGCTGGTGCTGGGGACAGTCAATACATGTGGTTGCCTCCTCTGGGCCTCAGGTTCTCCAGCTTCGGCAGGGTAGAGCAGATGACCAGGAACTTGAGCAATAGGCCACAGAACCCAGCGTAGGGAGGCCCCAAGGTCTCTGGTGTACTACCTCTCGGGCTTATATCCCCAGGTGAGGAGGCCCAGCATCTCTATTCCCTTGCAGATCCTCAACAAGTATGACTCGTGGATCTCCTTCCTGAGCAGCGTGCGCTACTGGATGGCCTTCAATGTGGAGCGGGCCTGCCAGTCCTACTTTGGCTGTGTGCAGTGTATCAGCGGGCCCCTGGGCATGTATCGCAACAGCCTCCTCCAGCAGTTCCTGGAGGACTGGTACCATCAGAAGTTCCTAGGCAGCAAGTGTAGCTTTGGGGATGATCGGCACCTCACCAATCGAGTCCTGAGCCTTGGCTACCGGACTAAGTATACAGCTCGCTCCAAGTGCCTCACAGAGACCCCCACGAAGTACCTCCGATGGCTGAACCAGCAGACCCGCTGGAGCAAGTCTTACTTCCGGGAGTGGCTCTACAATTCTCTCTGGTTCCATAAACATCACCTCTGGATGACCTACGAATCGGTGGTCACGGGTTTCTTCCCTTTCTTCCTTATTGCCACCGTCATACAGCTTTTCTACCGTGGCCGCATCTGGAACATCCTCCTCTTCCTGCTGACGGTGCAGCTAGTGGGCATTATCAAGGCTACCTATGCCTGCTTCCTTCGAGGCAACGCAGAGATGATCTTCATGTCCCTCTACTCCCTTCTCTACATGTCCAGCCTCCTGCCAGCGAAGATCTTTGCCATTGCTACCATCAACAAATCTGGCTGGGGCACCTCTGGCCGAAAAACCATTGTGGTCAACTTCATTGGCCTCATCCCTGTGTCCATCTGGGTGGCAGTTCTTCTGGGAGGGCTGGCCTACACAGCTTATTGCCAGGACCTGTTCAGTGAGACGGAGCTAGCTTTCCTTGTCTCCGGGGCCATCCTGTATGGCTGCTACTGGGTGGCCCTCCTCATGCTGTACCTGGCCATCATTGCCCGGAGATGTGGGAAAAAGCCAGAGCAGTATAGTTTGGCTTTTGCTGAGGTGTGACGTAGCCCCCAAGCAGAGCGGGAAAAGTGCAATGGGTAAGGGAGGGAAAAGGGAATGAAAGAGAAAAGATGGGGTGGGAGGGAAGAGGGAGTGCTGTGTTTTAATTTCTTAATGGTCCAAAGGACAAATCTAAAATGCAAAGAATGGTGACTAAAGTATGGCCTGGGCAGCTCTACTTAGGAGGCAACAATTTCTGAGGCTCAGACCAGAGAGGACTTGCTTGCTCTCGAGCTGCCCATCTGCTCACATCTGCACATAGGCAGTGGCCTCTGGGAAAGATTCTATTTCTCCTGCGATCCAGACGAAACTCAGTAGTATGCTAACCAAGTACAATTCAGTGTCAACTTCTCATAGGTACGTGAGCAATGACAGCCTGAGGTAAGAGGCTCTCCTACTGATAAGAATGCAACCAGAGGTGGCAAGAGAATTTCTACGGAGAGGTCTGGGCCAGCTAGTGTCCCCCCAGCCCTCCCAGTCATCAATGCAATAAGACTGCGCCTGAGATACGAGGCTAGGCTCAGCAGAAGCCTGATCTTTGGGCATCAGAAAACGGTCCAGGAATGGTGCTTTACATGATGTGCCCCACTCCACATCTCAACATTCTAGGGACTCCACATCTCAGCATCCCAGGGATGAACCAAACCAGCAGGGAGTTAGCACTGAACTGCTTCTAAAAGTATGTAGTAAAAAGCAAAGTTTGCCAGGAAGAACAAAGAGGTGGTGCTAAAGGAGATGGGCCTTATGGAGGCCTTGTGTCTTCCACCTGGAAATTGCTCAAACTTCTAGATGGATTCTTGGCTTGTCTGTGATCTCTGCTGAGGAGATAAAATGTTTTAGCCATCAGGAAGATTAAAACCTAACATGTTCAGAAAGGAAGTGAGGTCTTGGGTATTTTAACCTGTTTACTCCGGAATTCCTCTGAAATTCAGCTCTGATTTGAGGCTAAGACATCCTCTTCACTTTTTCAAAAGCACATTATTTTCTTTATAACTACAGCCACCTTTTCCACCCTGATCATCATGTTCTTCAAGGTGGCAACTGGAGCAGGACTCGGGCTCTTACAGGACTCTCTGCTCTCAGCACATATGGGAAATGCTCTGAGCTTCTGACCAAACTGGCTACAACCTGGGATCTGGGCAGGTTTCCTTGGCAGCTGGGTTAGAATGCATGACTTTTCAGGCTGTTCTTGACAATCATCTCCAGAGGAAAGCTTTTCTGTGTTTCCAAGTTGAACCTTCAATTCAAGCTAGGGAGCTTTGAGACTCCCTTCTCCTTAGTGGAATTCTATAGCCAGGTTGCAGAGATTATTTGCGTGCTTCTTTCCAGAAACCAAACTAGAAGGTGGAATTGGTTTCTACATCCTAAGGTTCTTGTTTTCTCATGGTGGTTCAAACTGTTCAGTTTCCCTTGGCTACTTTTGAAGAGTGAGGGAAAGCCATTTTCTAATGACTGGCAACTTACAGACTGTCCTCAGCATTTGGATTTAAACTTGGGATCTTGACTCAGCCTTTGACTGAAAGATTGCTTGCCCAATCTCTCCAAACGTCCATTCTCATAGGGACCAGCTAACCCCTCAGAACCAGCACTACGGTGGAGAGTACAATTGAGGGGGCAAGCCTCTAGTGTACCCAGGTGCTTCCAACAAAGAAAGTGTTCTGAACTACAGATGGGCAAACCCTGGTGCTTTTCTTCTCCCCTTAACAAGGGTTTTCCAGGTTTAGCTAGCAGTTGCCACATCACACAGACCTGGAGTTGCTTTTAAGACTGTTGCCTGGCATCAGACCTAACCCATGAAGGCTGGGAGGCAGCAGACATTTACTAAAGGCAGCTCTACTAGCCAAGAAGTAAACAATTTTGAGCACCACAGTGGAGGAAATCTGCTCAGCCAACTGCAGAGCTCCGACCTCACTAAGGGCTTGTTTTTCCTCAGCTTTTACTTGAAGGTTAATGTAGGATGATGGAAAGTGGATGGAGAACTCCTGGCTGTCCTACCATCAGCTCTACCTTGCACTGCGGTTAACTTTCCTCAAATCAAAAGTAGGCAGGTACAGGTAGTGAGTGAACTCACAAGGTTTGACCTCAACTGCTTTTTCTAAGTTATTTTGTACATTTTTCAGCAGCAAAACCAAACTGGGTCTTCAGCTTTATCCCCGTTTCTTGCAAGGGAAGAGCCTTTATACAACTGGACACGTTTTGGTTTTTCCTCATTGAGAATTTTAATCCTCTTTTGTATTGTTTCTACAATAATTTGTA